CGTAACGGGCATTACGCTGAACGTTGGTTTTTCCGCGAAGCTCTAGCTCGATCAGAGGCTAGAGGGGTCCAACGGACCCCCTTCCCCCCCCCCCCCCCCCCCACCGCATACGTTCGCGGCTGGCAAGACACCAATGCGGGCGAGGTTACCGTCTACGTTAGGCATAAAAAGTAAACGGATCCCTGAAAGAAGACCATCTCGCTTATATGCAGATGTACATACCTACCTAGTAGTACCTATATTTTCGCACCTCGTACCGGGACGGCTGGGACCACTTCTGCGCCTGCCATCTATCGGGCAGTGTTTGGAACTACAGCGGGCGCCGGCCGGCCGCGCCGCGCGGCGCCGTTACCGGGCTATGGAGGCAAATGAAGTGGTATAAAACCAGACGAATTTTACGCTTGTAAAGCAAAAAACGAAAAATGTACACTCACCACAGTGTTCAGCAAAGTACTGGGAACAATATGGATATAATTTAAAGCTAGTACGATGCGAACTGTTGGTTCCCTAGAGCAGTATTTACATACTTGTAGGAGATAGGACTTTAACATTACGGGAGCTTCTAAACTGCGCTCGCAAAGTACTTGATTGTAAATATTTTCATTTAGAGGCAAAAATCTAAAAATGTACAGTCAGAGCGTTGTTCCCAATGCTTCTAGGTACACAATGAGCATAAATTCAGCTCGAAATGTCATCACACATTGGTTCCCAGTCCAGTTTAAAACGACACTTTGTGCCGCAGAGCCTATCTCTTCCAATGGATGGCGGCTGGGTGGCGGTTGTAGTGGTGGACAAGACAATTCTTGAGTGAAATGAAATCATTTGCTTTCAAAGAATAAATTTGAAGAACTTGTAATAATTGACAAAAGATCGTTAATTACAGTGTATAATTTCAAGTTCATGGCAAATGAAAATATTTTAAACAATGCTAGTGAACCCCAGTACCGCCGCGCGAGAAAGCAAGTACTCGACGCACGGTCTGCCCGCCACTTCTGAAAATGGTCCGCGGCCGGCCGGCCGCGACCCGACACGTTAGGGGAAGCGGGGGGAACACCGCCACTGTGGGAAACACCGCCACCCCATCTGGCGGCGAAAGTATGAAATGGAAAGTGTAAAAATCCGTTATTTCCTATTAACCGAACGAAGGTAAGCGTCTTCTGATTTTTGTTCCGATGTTTCAGTGTAATGGAAGCTCAATGTGGGCATTTAAAGAAAAATGCACATTTTCTTATAAAAAATTCGATGAGTTGGGAGCACTTTTGAATGTCTTTAAGTAGAGACTCATTTTGATTTACTTGATTACATCGAAAAATGACTGATCGGCTTTGTCCAGGAAGATAGATTTGCTTGAACCTTCTAGTACATTCTTGCCGCTGGCGATTTTTGCTTGTGATTACTTATTGGGGAACACCGCCACCCCGTGGCGGTGTTCCCCCAATTGAGGTTGCGGTGTTTTCTGTTCGTAGCGTGATAAGTAATTAAACTCCAAAGACACACGTTTATTTATGTTCGTAGATGTTCCCAATTCGGGAATAAGCAGCTTATTTGATTTTTTACTTTATATTTTTCATGGATCCCGACTAAGCACTGCTAGCTGTATAAAACTGGCAAACAGATGGTGAACCCATATCTATTTAGGTGTCCATCACCGATTGTTTACGAAAATCGCCACTTAGGTACCGACAGGAAACTCATCGCACGCGATCTCTGAGCAATGAAAAGCTTTCACAGGGATGGGTTGGGTTAACATCAGCACCGGTGGCGGGGTTACCCACACAATTTGAAGGCGGCAAATATGCAAGGTATTTTTAAAAGTCGTGATGCATAAAAACGCTTTAGCAGCATGCAAAATAAGTACCTAAAACACGTGAGAAAATGTTGAAATATTGTAACCAAGACCAAAACTACCAAGAGACTTCACACATATTCTCTCATTTTGGCGAAAAGCTTAGGGGGGCGGTGTTACCCCCGCTTCCCCTATATGCCTAAAGAAAGAGCACGTCGCATGATGATTGATGGATTATTTCTATCCCCATTCCCCAGGCCGACCAACTATAGACTTTCCGTCAGTGGCGGCGGATTCGATTTTGGCGTGGGGGGGGGGGGCAAGATCCCAGTCGAGATGATGTCATATGCGGATCCAGAAAGGCGTTTTCGACGCTGTAGGGAACATACCCCCCCCCCCAAAAGTGTCCAAAATCCAAAAAGTCATCGGATTTCGATTCCTTACGGATCTACTGCTGAACAGTATAAAGCAAAAAAAAAAAATCCTGATAAAAAAGTGTTTTATTAGGAAACATAAGGTACGTTTGTCTATTTCGGGCGATGCAGGGGCCAGGGGAGGGAGAATAAATATTTGCTTTAAATGCCCGCTCCCTGGATCCGCCAGTGGACGATGTAACGCTTTTCGTATTGCTGTAGGTATTAGAAAAAAATCGCTATTGGGAAAAGTTGTGCCATAACCCGATCGCATATTAGATGTTGAAGAACGATTCCAAACCTTTTGAAGTAGGCGAGCGCTATATCTTCAATGAGGTAACTCGTTACTATTTCCTCTGTTCATTTTACGTTCGATTTCCGTTTAACCTTCCTTTAAAAAGTATTTCTGAGACAGATATCAACTGAAACTAGCTCACAGCGGGAGGAGACCGCTCAAACATTCAGAGACAGTCGGTCGCATCTAAACCTATTGGGACAGCGATCCGCCAGAAACACTCCCCAAGGCAGTGGTTAGCCAACTAAGCTCACCCAGACGGGCTGTCTCGATGGGTTTATACAGTTAGTCTACAGCAAGGCTTAACTAAGGCCCAAACACTCGTCAAGCTGGGAACGAAGGGCTGAGGTGAGGGAGCGCGGCGCCGGCGGTGGGCTGGGGTGAAGGAACGGTGGACTGGAACGAGAATCCAGAAGCTCTTTTTTGTTTTTGTTTTGTTTTGTTGGGTTAGGCCCTTTCGGTCTGACGAGACCATTTCAGGGCCGGAAGTACCTATGATAGGAATTAGGGGGAGACATTGGTCTGGGCAGACACCCTAGAGAGTCGCCGGGGCTGAGCCCGTCCGAAAGGACAGGCCGATCAGCCCCCCAAGCACTCTCTGCACCCGGCTACGGGGTGCGCTCCGTCGGGAGCAGCGGTGCCGCTCCAAGGGAGCAGCCCGCATGAGGTAAAGGTGCCTGTCCAGCCCGGAGTGGGGGTTGCGGCGTGGAGGAGAAGGATTTATGTGTCCCGAGGATGGAAGCGATGGAACGGAGCTGCCAGAAACTCTTGGTAGAGCGTTTCTTTTTGGCTTTAGGGTGCGCTGACTGCGGTAAGGTCCAAATTATCACACCAAATTTTGCCACATCTACCGGTTCAGGCACTCGAGAATCAGCGGCCAGTGATATCTGCAAAGACGAAGCATTTCCAACCCAGCTTCAGCCTGGTGTCAGGGTGCCTCAGGTGGCCTTAATTACAGTTGCACATACCAAACGACCTCAGTGCAGCCAGTCCATGCGGCCGAAACTATTCGGAACAGACTTCAACAAAAAGTGAGACAAGGTTAGTGCTATCGTTAAGTGCCATTATAGACTTGGTCCCCGTTGGCTTGACCCACTGGAAGGTGGTAGTTATCGGACGCTGTGGGGCATACTCATTTTTCCAAAATGCCTCAGATTTTGCTTTCTTGCTCATAGGCGGCGGAACGGGGAGGGCACCGGGGCACCGTGCCCCCCTTTGATTTTGGCATTTTAACGTTGGCCCTATGGGCGTTGCATGGAAAGAATGGGACCAAAAGTCGGCAGTGCCCCCCCCCCTCCCCTTAATTGAAGGTGTTCCGCCGCTACTGTTCGTGTTTGATGCTCTTTATTCTATAGTCAGCCTTTAGACAGAGGGGGGGGGGGCACTGGCACTAATGATCAGTGCCCTAACCCTCAAAAGTTTCCCACATAAATTTTTACTTTTTTAATAGTGAAAATGAAATAAAGCGGATACTGATCCGTGAACATCCAGTTTTTACACTGGCCGCACACAAGCCTCCGAATGCCCAAAGCAGATCTCTGATGACTGGCCTTTGGGTGTCATACCATACCGTGCATTGGTCATTGCCGTCAATGTGTACGACCCCGGCCTTTACCATTTTATGCGCTGGAAACTGTTGCGCTCGAAAAAATCAGGGGAGTGGCTTATTATGAGCGCTCATCAGTCCTAACTACCCGCAAGCGAATGGCTAGCCCTTCCGTCTCCGCTCGCTTGCGATTTGGCATTTATGTAGGTACAAAATAGAGGCAAATGACCACTGAAGGTATGAGTTGCGTCTCTTGCACACATCTATAAATAGAATCTGAAAAGACAAAAAAAAATGATATAGGAAATGGTTAGCATTTACACATATTCAAAAGGCACCGTTGGACAAACTGTAGGAGCGCATAGCTATTAGCTGCAATATCAGATTATGGAAATTTTCCTCATGTTTAGGGCACACATTATGGAGGGGCAAGAATATACGTTTGCCCCTCCTCCAAAAGTTGCTTAGGGAACGATGCCTCCTCAGTCCTCTGCCACCCCGTATCCGTCGCCCCTGTAAACGGTCACTGAAGGCCTGGGTGGCCGCTGCGTCACGTTGACGCTTATAAAGCCTCCAAAACTAGGTTGAAGAGAGGAAAACTTCAATTGAACGTAAACGCTTGCCAAGGCAACGTATGATAAAGTATATGGGCATCTGGTTATATCTTCAGATGATCGAGCGGAATAATCAGGTATATGGTTTCTTGTCTAAGCTTTGTCACAAATTATGGGGGGCAAAAAGATACTTTCCCCCCCCACGAGTTTGCCAGGGGGGGCAGCTGCCCCCCCCCCTGCCCCCCCGAATCCGCCGCCCCTGCTTTCCGTCTACAAACTACAGTTTTCAAACAACAAGTGTTTCCGCCGTCCATGTCTCGCGTCATCCGCCGAATTCGGTAGCCTGGACGCGTGTCGTTATGAAATGACGTGAGTTCAGGCGGCGTCACTTTTACCTGTAGCCGCGTTCACCGAAGCTGGTCGGTCGGATGACGTCACCCGTCGGCGCCGGCCAATCCCGGCCGGCCGCTGCTGGGTCGGCAGCTCCGACCGGCCGATGACGTCAGTGACGGCGGCCAGAAATCCCAGCAGCACGCCGCGTAGCGCTGCCGAATCGTCCGCGGGCTGTCCCGCTCCCGGCGCCTCTTATAAGCAGGTACCGCCGCCCGGTCGCCAGTTGCAGGCTGCACGCTGCTGAATAAACAGGTAGGACCGGTGCAACGGAGCATGGCCATACTGGGCTGCTTGTCCCACCAAACATAAGATATGACGCTACAACGCTCATTGAGAGCTGTCTTGGAATCAAATTTTATCGCAAACATTTTCATCATAAGCGTCAATCAATTTCCCCTCTAGTCAGTTTGGTTTATGGGTCATTTTGTCATCTTTCAAGCTTATAAAAGTTTGCCTTATCTGACCCCCCGTGTCTCCGTCCGCAGGTCTCATCTCGTCTCAACTGTGTCACAATGCGTTGTCTGCTGGTGGTAGCTGTGCTGGTGGCGGCCGTCGGAGCCGCCTCAGTCTCCCAGCGCGTCTCCGTGAGCGGCTCCTCCCGCGGCGGAGAGTCCGTCTCCGTCTCAGAGACCTCGAGCAGCATCCGCTCCGACACGGGCACCACGCTCGGCACCAGGAGCTCCTTCTCCAGTCGGCGCCGGACGCCGGCCGCCGTCGGCACCCCGGCCCAGGCGGGCGCTCCCGTGGCGCCCGCCACCGCCCAGAGGGCTGTCCCGGCCGCCGCTCCCGCGGCCGCCGCATCTCCTGCCGTAGGCGCCACATCTCCTGCTGTGGGCGCCGCATCTCCTGCCGTGGGCGCCGCATCTCCAGTTGCGGGCGCTGTGCCCTCGACTGCGGGCGCCGTGCCGGCGGCCGGCGGCACCAGCCTGCAGGCTGCCCAGTCGGCTCTCAGCGGCAGCATCCCGGTGGTGCCCTCCGTGCGCCCCCTGCGCCCTCTCAACATCCAGGTGCCGTCTCTGGGGGCGCCTGCCATCGGCACGCGCTTCAACAGCCGTCCCGGCAGCGGAGCGGGAGTGGCGCCCGCACTGGCCGGCGCCCAGGCCAGCCTGAACCAGGCGGCCGCCGAGCTGAGCGCCGTCATGAGCGCCCTCGGCGTTTAGACGCTCACCGGTCGGCGGCGGCGGTTATGGCACGGGGACCGGGACGGTGTGGAGAAGTCTGAGTCAGCGGAGGGAGAGTCGGCACGGCAGGGAAGCTCGGCCGCTGCAGAGGGAGCGGTGACGGCCGACGCGAACGACTCATCATCAGATGAGTTTTAGTCGGAATTAAGACTGGACTTGCGGCCAGAGAGGCGTGGCTGTGGTTGGCAGCAGTAAGGGAGAACTTGAGGGATGGTATTCCGTCCTCTCGCTCAGTGCTAGGCGTGGCGAGGACGGACCAGCAACGCAGGCTCGCAGAGGAACAAACACCTGAAGGATGCGCTGACCGGCTTAAAACGGCGTCAGCGGTGTGACGGTGGCCGAGCACTGCCAGAAAGACGGAGGGAGCAGTGGTGCCTGAGCTGCTTCTACCGAATAGACCTGCCCCGGTGGCACTAAAAAGACAGAATGCTTATGTGCTTAGTGTGAGCGTCAAGGGCGGGGAGAAGAAAGCTAGAATGAGCTTTTTGTGACTGATTTGAATGTGATGTGAACCTTGTTTGTAACAAGATGATACCATCGATGTTAATTGTTGACAAACAATATACTTATGAGGACCAGTGATCAGCACAAGCTTTTTCAGATCAGTGTAAAAAAAAAACAGTCTGACGTCCTGCGCGTATCAGTAGCAGGGGATGATCGTAAGTCGTAACTGTATATAGCCGCGGAGCACCTTCAATTAAGGGGGGGGGGGCACCGCCGACTTTTGGTCCCATTCTTTCCATGCAGCGCCCATAGGGCTAATGTTAAAATGCCAAAATCAAAGGGGGGCACGGTGCCCCGGTGCCCTCCCCGTTCCGCCGCCTATGACTGTATAACGTTACGCAAGTCGTTTCACGGAAAAGAAGGAGCCATTTAGATTTATGTATAGGCCATCGCTAGCCGGTACTAACTGATTTATGGGATAACAAATGCGGCAATGACCTTTATCAAATCGTTAGTTTAAATTGTTAAAAAGTATTTTATCATAAATCATTAACTGTTAAATTATTATTTAGTTACCTAAATTAGACGCATAAATTGCCCGGCGCTTCGCTGTAGGGGAACGTTATCTAATAAAGCAAACCGTCGAGCAATGCATACCTATATCTAATCTATTTAGCTTTTAGGTAGCAGTTTAACGACCAATGATCTATGATGAACGATTTTATAGCGATTTTAAAATAACGATTCAAATGAAGGTCATTGCTGCACTTATTTGCCTGGACTGAGAAATTTCAATAACATTCTATAAACAAGCATTACCTAGGTGTCTTTTGCATTATGGATTTTTATTTTCATGTTGGCAAATTTAAATGCAAACAGATCCTAGTAACTGGAATTTGCACGTATGTAGTTGCTTAACCCGCGCCCTGCTGGGGGGGTGTTTGAACACCCCCCCTTGTGGTTTTTCGCGAATATCTCAAAAACGGCGGCGCGGAGCGCCGCCGTTTTTGGTACACCTTATCATACATCAATTCTACACATGTTGTGAAAATTTCAGACCAAGGTCATTCAAGGTCAGGTCACCAGGTCACTTGAAGTGACCTCACCTCATAAAAAGTTTCAATGTCTGTCATAGCTACACCGAGTGACCGATCGCTTTGAAACTTTCAGCGATTGCTGAGAGCAATAGCATGTACAAAATGTATATCTTCGAATTTTGATATCGATGACCTAAGGTCAGGTCAATTTTGCGACCTCCCCATTATAAGTCAATGGGAGAAAAATGAAATGCGTCTCTTTTGGACGAAAGACATTATAAACACTCCCAAACACCGAATTACAAGTGGTTTAGACACACTGAACATGAAAATGGTGTCCGTGACCCTTGTTTATGCCCTGAGGTCATCTTAGGTCACGAATGGTATCTAACAGTTTTTCGCAAATAACTTTTGATAGAGGCATGCTAGAGCGATGAAAATGCCTTATATGTGTTCAGCTCGACGATACGGATCGACTGATATGCAAGATGACCCTTTCCGGTCAGGTCATGACCTTGACCTGAGGTCAAATTTTCAAGTTGACCTTTCAAGGTCAACTTATAGTTCATTCGATGCGTCTTGACAAGAGGAACACGATGCCGGTGAAAGTAAGCTCGTACAAGGCTTGGGTCAAAAGTTATTGCAGAAAAACTGTTTCCGAAAAAATCGGCTATTTTTGCAGTTTTTGCCCCCTGCAGGCAAAACCGTTGACGTTAGGTCAAATCTGAGAGAATTACTCAGAAAGGGCGTTAATAGGGCTATCGAATGCACTTTTCCGCGGCGCTGTAGCTCTATTGGTTCCCGAGTTATGCGTTGGCTTCTTGGAAATTTTCGACATTCGACCTGGAAAAGGCGAAATTTTGCCTTCAATGACCTCTGGTGACCTGACCTTTGACCTGACCAAAAAATTGACCGTTGTGATTTCGTCATTATTTTTTACGCTCTTTCGAACGCCGCCTTCCGCGTATCGCTACGTGGCCCAGGAGCCGAGTTAGAAGGGGGGGTGTTCAAACACCCCCCCCCCCCCCAGCAGGGCGTGGAAATCCAGGACCCCCAGCAGGGCGCGGGTTAATACGTTAATTCTATCTGGGGTCATTTTGCCAAATACCAGGAAAATGCTTGCTTGCTAATTACTCCGAAAGATAACTGGACGCTCCAGCACGATAGGAAGACTGTGAGCCTACCAGTACCTACTGCGCAGTCTCGAGTCGCCAGAAAGCTAAGCATTCTTAAGCACTGATGAAATAAAGTCATCTGTTCTGGCATGAACATACTATATAGGGTGTGCTTATGAATTATAATCTCCATCAAATGCTAGGCTGAGCTGAGCCAAGGACACGAATAACAAGTTGTAGGTACAAGTAATGCGAATGAACTAAGACGGGTTCCAGACTCAAGTCTGCAAGGCTGCCGGGTCTTGTCGCATACTTTTATTTTCTGTATACGGGGATGCGACTTCCTCGCCCTTTCGCCCCTAATTAGGACCATGGAGCTTCGCAAGAGGCTTGTAGACAGTTGGCACGTCCACAGAGGCGCTATCATTGGTGCACTATTTCAACAAAGCTCAAAATTGTTGTCCTCTGAGGTTTGGTCGGTGATCAACCGATAAGGTTTGACTGTTGATAAATAACTCCGGCAAGGACGATTGCAAAGCAGCGCTTGAAGATTGTGTTTGTCGTCTCCATTCACGTTGAATGATAGTAAGGTACCTACACCAGTCGTTTTTTATTTAATAACTCAACTTGTTGTGGAGTTTTTTTTTATCAAAACCCACTAATGACATTATTGACAGCCACTTGACGTTAATAAAATACTGATTAATTTAACGTTACCATATATGACTGTGATCGAAGGTGAATGAACATCTTAATGCATTTTATCTTATACGTTCTCTAATGAGTAAATTCGATCGCGACTTTATACTTTGGTTTCCCCTTTCGGATCACCGATCGACGCCTCTATAAACTTATTTTATCAAGCCGAGTTAAAAATTCAGAAGGTTTTTGGCATTTTAGTCCAATACTCTCATTGAAAGTTCGCGCACGTGAAACTCGATCATAGCTTCGGTGTCACCGATGAATGACGCCTCAATTCACCGACGGTGAGTTGAGCCGGTAACTACCAACTCAATGCAATCTGTCCAATAAAATATGTCGCGTAATGTTTCTTGCCAGGTGAGATTGATACGCCTAACGCCATTGTAAGCTGAAGGGCGACATTCAGTGACTGCTGCATTCCCACGGCCACGTCCTCTCCGAAATGAGCTAGGGTAAGTATAAGTAACCATGCTCGCTGGCCACACTAAAATGCAGCCTTATCCAAACTGGGAACCGGTAGAGACGAGCACATTTGATGTCATTTCCCCATTCTGGTGTCCGTTTAACCTTGAGACCGGCTCACGGCAGCGTCCGCCGGACAGGTCTCGTGATTAGGCAGCTGCGGGCCCGATTAGGCCCTGCTTCTTATTAGTACCGGTTGCCGGGAGGCTAGCCGGCACCGGCCGACGATATGACGTCTGCATGGCATACCGCGAGACCCCCGCTCACCCCGCCGAGGCACCGACCTCGAGTTGTGTGATCGAAGCGCCGACAGCAGCCCCGACGGGCCGCGGCACCAGCACTGGCAGCCGGTCAGCCGGCTCTGGAACCCGCTCACCGCGCAAAAATACGCCAAACTCGTCAGTCGCAGTCTGCTAAGCCGTCTTAGCAAGAGATTCGGCGAACTTGCAGATAACAGATTAGAACAAGAATGCAAAACCAGTAGGTAATCACTGCTGTGCGGACGTTGTTTGATGAAATATTCCTATTATGCCTACGTGTGTATAATGAAAAACCAACTAACAGAAGCGTTGACCATCATAAAGTGTCGACTGTTGGCTGTTGCTACCATCATCTGTCCATGCAGTGATGGCAACGATAACAACCATCATCCTTTTGTCATAAACAACCGACTACCGAGGTCTGCTTGTAGAAAATGCTGGAAAGGGTAAACACTGGTTCCTGAACAATTTTCATTCCTTGTATCTAACTATAGTTTTGTTAAAATACTGGTCCTTTCGGTCGTGATTATTTCCGGGGCCGAAGAATAAAAGGTTACCTGAGTGCAGGGGGACCTTGCGCCCAGTCGACCATCGACTCGTGTGCCGCAGCCACTGAGCCACTCTCGTTATGGACGGGAGTCTGGGTCTGCTAATCAAACGGTCATTCCGGAGGGGTAGTTAGTTATCTGCCCTTCACCGGTTGTGAGGATGGGTGACCGTCAGTCCGGAACTGGAAACTGCGAATCGAGTGATAGAGATGAAGATGGGCTGCAGGTTCTGAGGATGCAGAGGGCGATGGCTAAACGAGAAATGGTTAAATGGTTAAACTGTATCCTTGAAATCATTCTTGTCAGGCAGAATTATGTGCTTTAAAAATGCTGACTTCTTCGAAATCTTTCCCAGCTGTTCAATCCAAGTAATTTAAGCCCACGAAGTGCATATGATCAAACTATCATCAGCAACTGAGTCGTACATCATTCTCGTGTGAATTGTAATGCCTCACGTGTGCCAGTTCCGTGGCCTGCACGACTCACCGTTTGTGGTAGGCGAGAGCTGACCCCTGCGGACGACCGGGAAAACCCAGCCGGTGGCTCTCGCTCCCTTCCCCACCCTGCCCCGGCCGGTCAGAGGCTATTGGTTCACCGAACCAGCACAACTGCTCAGTGGCACTCTTGCACAGTGCACAGGGCTGCGGAGTCGATGGATTTTCGGTGTTTCCGACTTTCAGAAACTAACCCCGACTCCGAGCTCCGGGCAGAACTGTCGACTTTGACCGACTCCAGCTCCGACTTCTACTCCGCAGACCTGGCAGGGCTGCGGAGTCGCTGGATTTTTACTGACTCCGATTCAAAATCCGGTTTCGGTTAAACAACGACTCCGACTCCTACTCCGGTCAGAACTATCGACTCCGACTGAGAATCCGACTCAGGTCTGAACTGTTGACTCCGACCGACTCCGACTCCAACTCCGTGCAGCCCTGCCTGCCTGCAGTCTTCTTCAACGTGCTCAGTACCGCGCAGCACGCTGTCTCTGCCACCATGCCATGCCGGGAGCGCTCGACAACA